AATTAATCTAAAGCCTCTTTCAAGGTCTAAAGATCGTGCTTAATCAATCTCAATTAACCTACTTTCGTGGAATCAAGATTAAATTAAACCCATTAAGCTTTATGCTAATCCAAATCAAATCCCCAAGGAATCTAGCCTACTTTCGTGGTTCGAGCTCCCTGCTTAATTTCTAGAGATCCGGTATTAATCTTCACCTTTCAGTCCTTCAATTAATTACCTATGATTGCTAATACGGTGATCAAGCGAATCAACAAGATTAAAACACAAGAAATTAAGTTTAAAGATCTAAACTTTCACCAAGAACATATATTAATTCATCATCAATCACCAAAAAGTTGGGTTATTTCCCAACCCTAGATAAGAAATCTACTCACACATGATTGGAATAAGAGAAGACATCAAATAATTATGCAAATCAATCATAAGAAGAAATAAATCAAAGAGAGGAAAGAATTAACCCGTCTTTCAATTGAAATCTTCAAAATAAGAACTTGCAATCCAATCTTCTACAAGAGATTAATGTCTTCCTCAATACTTGAACCCTAGAATAGTTGCTTAGTTGATGGCTAAAAGAACATAACAAAAGATATCCAAAACCCTAAGTCAAAACATCTATTTATATGTCTCCAAAAATCTGGAAAATAACTAATTCTCGCGCCACCGGTGTGGTCTGCACCACACCAGGGTGTGGTAGGGGCTGTTTTGCTGATTTTGTGCTTGTTTCTTTAGTTTTTGGTATTTTAGCTATAACGTTTGCGTCCGACCTCGGAATAAGGTGATTCAAGTTGCATTGGAATCCTGTTGAAGAGATCTACAACTTTCATTTTTTGAGTTTTTCCGAATTCAAATTTCATCATGGTCGAAATTCTAGTTCTTCATACTCGTGCATCCATTTTCTTCACGAACCATGCCTTCAAAATCTTGTTGTTGCTTCAAACTCTTGTAAAACTTCCAACGATCATCAAATCTTTTAATCTTGGGTCAATACCTACATATAAGAAAACAAACAACAGCAGTATCCTTGATCTAAACACGAAATATGCATCAAACGCTCGTAAATCATGCTTGAAACACACTAAGATAATGCATATTTTACGTGTTTATCAACTCCCCCAAGCTTAGACTTTTGCTTGTCCTCAAGCAAATAAACAATAAAAATTAGGAGGAGTGAAAGCCAAATAGAGTAGGGATCACCCCCTCATTAATCCTTTAACCAATATCAAACATATCACAAAACAAATACTTTTTATCGGGACTTAACAAATTAATTTCCAAAACTCTCAACAAAATCACATTTCAAAATTTATTTACGATCACAAGCGTCACAAGTCAAGGATAGCCATCCTATCCAATTCTCAAGTCAAAGTAGGAAAAAGAAATTCATGTAACTAGCTTTAATCCCGAAGTACTAAAATTGAGACCTTCAGGTAGTTAAACTGGTAGACCTCACTTTAGGATAAGTGGACTCTCAATCTCTCATGTGTTTAAGGATGTGATTGTATCGCTCAAAATTCTTCCGGATGGATGTATTCAATCCATAAGCTTGCATTTCATCTCAATTCTCCACCACTTCGAAAACTAATGCATGCAACAAAATCATGAGGTCTTTTATTTGGTTGTAATGGGGCTAGGGTAAAAAGGTAGGATAGATATTTGGATTGTAGTTGAAAGCCTATCACTAGTGGAGCGATACTTGTAAAATATTTGATCTCAAAATAAGATCAATGAAATTCAAACAAACTCCATCATCTATTAAAGAACTTCTTCCAACTACTCCTTTTAGTATGCCATAATAAATTCTTTCGACACCCGCAATTACATACACCATAAAGATGACAACTTTATTCAACTCTTTTTTTCAATTTTCTTTTTCTTTTTTTCGAAAGAATTATGAAAAGGGAAGCAAACGCCTACTGTCACACCCCCAAGCTTACACCACATTACTCACATAACCCATTGTATCATAAAATGTGCTCCACTAGCTTAGGCAATGGGTAAGGAATAAAATCGGATTTTGAAGGTTACATATGTGGGTTTAATCAACAAAAATTAGGCTCATAGGCTCAAGGGGGCTACTCAAGGGAACAATAGTGCATGGTAGGCTATTTGGCAAATGTGGACTATAAACAAAAATGTGCCTCAATCACCTTTTATGCATACAAAAGTTATATGTAGCCTTGAAGAGATTCAATGCAAGTTCTAGTATCCTACACCATTGGAGAATATCACACAAGAAAAAATAATAATGATTGGATATGTAATGCATCCAATTTCAGGCTCAAAATCTCACGGGTTTTATTTGTCTACCAAATTTAATTCCCCTCTTGTCTCAATAGAGTAATGGTTATGACGCTAGCCGCATAAATGCTAAATCCTATAAGACAAGAGAACATTCAAGTCCGGTTCTCCCATATTGTTAACTTGTAATCAAAAGCCTTTGAGAATCAGTTGAAAGATGGTATAAGAAGTTGTCAAGTCCCAATTAATGAGCATCTATCTAGTTCAATGATCGATAAAGGTTAATGATTAATGTCATCATCAGGAGATCATTTCCCTGTTTTGTTTTTTTGTTTTTTTTAAATGAAGAAATAAAGCAAAAAAAAACTAAAATAAAAGAAAAATAGGCAATTATAGACAGGCAACCAATGCATGAACAACCCACACCCCCAAGCTTAAGATCGACATTGTCCTCAATGTAAAAAGATAGAAATTAGTGCAAGGGTGCAGAGGACATACCAACTCACTAGTCAGAAGGAGGCGGTGGATGGTCTGTGATGGTGAAGATGGCGGCGGTTGGTTTGATGATCGGAGAGAAGGAGGATGGCTGGCGATGGTGGTGAAGGGTGGTCGCTGATGGGTTGTCGATTTGGGTTAGGGCAAAGGGGATGTGGTTATGTTGCTGGTTTGAAGAGGGGGTTTTTTTTCGTTTTTTTTTACCAGCGACCCACGGGTGTGGGAGATGGGTGTGGTAGAGTATGTATTTTTTTTTCTGTGGACCGTGGGTGTGGTGTACCCCACCCTTGGGTGTGGTAGGCTCTGCCACTCCATCTTTAACTCCTTTTTCTGTAGTTTTTTTTTAATGTCTTCATTTCTTCACAACTACATGATCAAAAATATTATAAGTTAAATTTATGCCGATCCAATTGCCTAAAAAAAATAAAAATTAAAAAAATGAAATTAAAATGAAATAAAATAAGATAAAAAAATGAATGAAAACTTGGGTTGCCTCCCAAAAAGCGCTCGTTTATGGTCATGAGCTCGACCCCTTTTGCCTCAATTCTCCGACAAAGGGGAATCGGAAAGGGTATAAGTGACCACTTTCTCGTTTTGTTCCCCAACAATGTAGTGTTTCAATCGTTACCCATTCACCTTGAAAGATCCCGTTGTTTCACTCCAAACTTCAACAACTCCACTAGGAAAATCCTCACGGACTTGAAAAGGTCCGGACCACCGAGATTTGAGCTTGCCCGGAAAAAGCTTCAAACGAGAGTTGAAAAGTAATACCATATCTCCTTGATTAAACTCTATTCGAAGGATATTCTTATCGTGCCATCGTTTAGTCTTTTCTTTATAAATGTGAGCATTCTCATAGGATTCTAATCGTGACTCATCTAGCTCATGACGTTGAAGCTTTCTTTCCTCACCTGCGGTCTTCATATTGAAATTTAGCAACTTGATAGCCCAATACGCCTTGTGCTCTAACTCAACTGGGAGATGACACAATTTGTCATATACCAACTTGAACGATGTCATGCCTATGGGTGCTTTATCCTCTTCACAAGTAGAACCTTTTGACTTTAACTTTAGACTTTCAAACTTTGCATTTCGAAATGGAGCAGTTGATGTTGATTCTAAAGATTGAGCATACACGACTACCTCCGGGTCTTCATCATTTATTGAATCGTCACTTACCAAACACTTCTCGAGTGGATCAGCTGAGTAATGGTTTGCAAGTTGCTCATGTGTAGACTTGTCAATCACGTCGACCCTGTAACAAACTTTATCAGTTAGAGGGGTTTTCATAGCATTGCTCAAATCAAATTCTACCTTCTCTCCTCTAATATTTAGGGAGAGACTTCCATTTTTAACATCGATTGTAGCACCTGCAGTAGCAAGGAAGGGTCTTCCTAATATAATTGGAATGTTAGAATCTTCTTCCATTTCTAAAATAACGAAATCAACCGGGATAAAGAACTTACCGACCTGGATAGGTACATCTTTAAGTATACCTACCGGATATTTTACCGATCGATCCGCCAATTGGAGTGATATCGTGGTTGGCTTCAAATCTCCTATGTCAAGCTTCTTATAGATGGACATTGGCATCAAACTTATGCTTGCACCTAAATCACACAAAGCACGGTTAATAGAGACATTACCAATAACACAAGGAATAGAAAATGAACCTGGATCCTTAAGCTTAGGAGGCAGCTTATTCTGGATGATAGCACTACACTCCTCAGTAAGGGCCACAGTCTTGTATTCTTCCAACTTCCTTTTGTTAGATAGGATCTCTTTCAAGAACTTAGTCAGTGAACGGGATATTGATATGTAACTTTTTCAAAATCTCCAAAAATTTTCTGAACTGCTTTTCTAACTTAGCCTTAGCTAACCTTTGGGGAAATGGTAGAGGAGGCTTGTAAGGAGCGGGGGCCACATATTTTTCAACTTTTTCTTCTTCTTGCGTTTGGGTCTCATTATCCACATCTATCACATTTTCATTTTTTTCTTCATGATGACCATCCACCCCATCATTTTCCTTCATCTTGGGTCCCTCATATTGTTTTCCACTTCTAAGAGTTATAGCATTCACATGACTCCTGGGATTCGTCTCAGGTTGTCCAGGTAGCATGCCTGAAGGCCTAGAGGAAGAGCTAGCATTTTGCGCTAATTGAGTGATTTGTGTCTCTAACATCTTGTTATGCGTAGCTAGGGAATCCATCTTAGAGGCCAATTGTTTTACTACCTCATTCGTGGTCTGTAGTTGTTGCTTAAATTCTTCATTCAATTTTGATTGAGTCATCACAAACTTCTCCATCATATTTTCCAAATTTGAGAGGGAATTTCATAGTATTGCTTAAATCAAATTCCACCGTCTCCCCTCCAATATTTAGAGAGAGCCTTCCATTTTTAACATCGATTATAGCACCTGCAGTAGCAAGGAAGGGTCTTCCTAAAATAATTGGAATGTTAGAATCTTCTTCTATTTCCAAGATAACGAAATCGACCGGGATAAAGAACTTACCGACCTGGATAGGTACATCTTCAAGTATACCTACCGGATATTTTACCGATCGATCCGCCAGTTGGAGTGATATCGTGGTTGGCTTCAAATCTCCTATGCCAAGCTTCTTATAGATGGACATTGGCATCAAACTTACGCTTGCACCTAAATCACACAAAGCACGGTTAATAGAGACATTACCAATAACACAAGGAATAGAAAATGAACCTGGATCCTTAAGCTTAGGAGGCAGCTTATTCTGGATGATAGCACTACACTCCTCAGTAAGGGCCACAGTCTCGTATTCTTCCAACTTCCTTTTATTGGATAGGATCTCTTTCAAGAACTTAGCATATGAAGGCATTTGAGAGATAGCTTCAGTGAACGGGATATTGATGTGCAACTTTTTCAAAATCTCCAAAAATTTTCCGAACTGCTTTTCTAACTTAGCCTTAGCTAACCTTTGGGGAAATGGTAGAGGAGGCTTGTAAGGAGCGGGGGCCACATATTTTTCAACTTTTTCTTCTTCTTGCGTTTGGGTCTCATTATCCACATCTATCACATTTTCATTTTTTTCTTCATGATGACCATCCACCCCATCATTTTCCTTCATCTTGGGTCCCTCATATTGTTTTCCACTTCTAAGAGTTATAGCATTCACATGACTCCTGGGATTTGTCTCGGGTTGTCCAGGTAGCATGCCTGAAGGCCTAGAGGAAGAGCTAACATTTTGTGCCAATTGGGTGATTTGTGTCTCTAACATCTTGTTATGCGTAGCTAGGGAATCCATCTTAGAGGCCAATTGTTTCACCACCTCATTCGTGGTTTGTTGTTGCTGCTTAAACTCTTCATTCAATTTTGATTGATTCGTCACAAACTTCTCCATCATATTTTCCAAATTTGACTTTTGAGAAGGGAAATTGGATTGAGGAGCACGAAAACCAGGTGGACCAAAATTAGATGCAGGCATGGGATTTCCAGGTGGGTTTCTATAAGAAAAATTAGGATGATTCCTCCACCCCGGATTATAAGTATTGGAGAATGGGTCTCCCTTCTGATTAAAGTTATTAACATAGTTAACTTGCTCATTACCAGAAGTATCAATGGATGGGGGGTTTCCTAATTGACATTGAAGTGCAGAATGACCCACATAGCCACATATCTCACATGAAATTGAAGTAGACGCCACAGAATTAATACTCAAACCTTCAACTTTCTTAAATAAAGCATCAACTTTAGAGGATATATGGTCTAAAGCATCTATTTCATACTTGCCTCCTTTTGATGTCTGAGGAGCACGCTCGTTCGCCCATTGATAGTGATTCTGAGCCATGTCTTCAATGAGAGTGTATGCCTCGTCTATTGTTTTGTTCATCAAAGCTCCTCCTGCAGCAGCATCAACAGTCATCCGTGTGTTGTAAGTGAGCCCGTTGTAGAAGGTGTGAACAATTAACCACTTTTCCAGTCCATGGTAAGGGCACATCCTCAATAATTCCTTGTAGCGTTCCCAAGCTTCATAAAGTGACTCTCCTTCCTTCTGTACAAAGCTTGTAATCTGGTTCCTCATCTGTGCTGTTTTACTTGGAGGAAAATACTTTATAAGAAATACTCTGGACAATTGATCCCAAGTGGTGATGGACCCAGCTGGCAATGAGTGCAACCAAGCCCTAGCCTTGTCCCTTAGAGAGAACGGAAATAATCTGAGTCGAATAGCATCATTGGTCACTCCATTAAGTTTCAAAGTGTCGCAATACTCCAAGAAAATCGATAGGTGGAGGTTCGGGTCTTCAGTAGCACCTCCTCCAAACTGATTCTGTTGAACCATTGAGAGCAGTGATGGTTTTAGCTCAAAGTTATTAGCTTCAACATTGGGCCTTGTAATGCTTGACTGTGTGCCTTGAGCATTTGGGGCTGCGAAATCCTTAAGAAGCTGATTTTGATCTCCCATCGTAGCTTGTTCTGTGTTCCTTTGCTCCCTTATAGACCTTCTTATGTTTGCAAGAGTCACCGATAGTTCAGGATTGTTTTCGTCGTTTACTTCTGTTTGATTCCCTTGCATAAAAGAAAGTGAGAAGCAAAGAGAAAAAAAATCTAGTCTAGCTTAATAACGTAAGCACTCAATATTAACACCGTAATCCCCGGCAACGGCGCCAAAAACTTGATAGGTAAAATCTGCAAGCGCACAGACTCATTGTAGCTATCAAGGTCGATCCCACAGGGACTAGGGTTAATTACCAAATTTCACGTTATTAGTCTAGCTAAACTAATGAGTAAATTAGAAGAGATTTAATAAAAGAAATAAAATAAATAACTAATCGGATGAAATTCAATATAATGAAGGACTAGGATTGGGTTATCACTGTTTATCAACTCCCCCAAGCTTAGACTTTTGCTTGTCCTCAAGCAAATAGACAATAAAGAAAATAGGAGGAGTGGAAGCCAAATAGAGTAGGGATCACCCCCTCATCAATCCTTTAACCAATATCAAACATATCACAAAACAAATACTTTTCATCGGGACTTAACAAATTAATTTCCAAAACTCTCAACAAAATCACATTTCAAAATTTATTTACGATCACAAGCGTCACAAGTCAAGGATAGCCATCCTATCCAATTCTCAAGTCAAAGTAGGAAAAAGAAATTCATGTAACTAGCTTCAATCCCGAAGTACTAAAATTGAGACCTTCAGGTAGTTAAATTGGTAGACCTCACTTTAGGATAAGTGGACTCTCAATCTCTCATGTATTTAAGGATGGGATTGTATCGCTCAAAATTCTTCCGAATGGATGTATTCAATCCATAAGCTTGCATTTCATCTCAATTCTCCACCACTTCGAAAACTAATGCATGCAACAAAATCATGAGGTCTTTTATTTGGTTGTAATGGGGCTAGGGTCAAAAGGGTAGGATAGATATTTGGGATTGGTTGAAAGCCTATCACTAGTGGAGCTATGATTGCAAAAGATTTGATCTCAAAGTAAGATCAATGACATCTACACAAACTCCATCATCTATTAAAGAACTTCTTCCAACTACTCCTTTTAGTATGCCATAATAAATTCTTTCGACACCCGCAATTACATACACCATAAAGATGACAACTTTATTCAACTCTTTTTTTTCGAATTTTTTTTCTTTTTTTTCGAAAGAATTATGAAAAGGGAAGCAAACGCCTACTGTCACACCCCCAAGCTTACACCACATTACTCACATAACCCATTGTATCATAAAATGTGCTCCACTAGCTTAGGCAATGGGTAAGGAATAAAATCGGATTTTGAAGGTTACATATGTGGGTTTAATCAACAACAATTAGGCTCATAGGCTCAAGGGGGCTAATCAAAGGGAATAATAGTGCATGGTAGGCTATTTGGCTAATGTGGACTATAAACAAAAATGTGCCTCAATCACCTTTTATGCATACAAAAGTTATATGTGGCCTTGAAGAGATTCAATGCAAGTTCTAGTATCCTACACCATTGGAGAATATCACACAAGAAAAGAAAATAATTATTGGATATGTAATGCATCCAATTTAGGCTCAAAGTCTCACCGGTTTTATTTGTCTACCAAATTTAATTTCCCTCTTGTCTCAATAGAGTAATGGTTATGACGCTAGCCACATAAATGCTAAAACCTATAAGACAAGAGAACATTCAAGTCCGGTTCTCCCATATTGTTAACTTGTAATCAAAAGCCTTTGAGAATCAGTTGAAAGATGGTATAAGAAGTGGTCAAGTCCCAATTAATGAGCATCTATCTAGTTCAATGATCGATAAAGGTTAATGATTCATGTCATCATCAGGAGATCATTTCCCTATTTTGTTTTTTTGTTTTTTTTAAATGAAGAAATAAAGCAAAAGAAAAACTAAAATAAAAGAAAAATAGGCAATTATAGACAGGCAACCAATGCATGAACAACCCAAAAACTTGATAGGCAAAATCTGCAAGCGCACAGACTCGTTGTAGCTATCAAGGTCGATCCCACAGGGACTAGGGTTAATTACCAAATTTCACGTTATTAGTCTAGCTAAACTAATGAGTAAATTAGAAGAGATTTAATAAAAGAAATAAAATAAACAACTAATCGGATGGAATTCAATATAATGAAGGACTAGGATTGGGTTATCACCACAACTTAGGTGTTCAATGATGAATTATTTTAATTCTTGGTATCGGTTTAATCTAGAAAGGGTGAATTAGCCTAAATTAATCTAAAGCCTCTTTCAAGGTCTAAAGATCGTGCCTAATCAATCTCAATTAACCTACTTTCGTGAAATCAAGATTAAATTAAACCCATTAAGCTTTATGCTAATCCAAATCAAATCCCCAAGAAATCTAGCCTACTTTCGTGGTTCGAGCTCCCTGCTTAATTTCTAGAGCTCCGGTATTAATCTTCACCTTTCAGTCCTTCAATTAATTACCTATGATTGCTAATACGGTGATCAAGCGAATCAACAAAATTAAAACACTAGAAATTAAGTTTAAAGATCTAAACTTTCACCAAGAACATATATTAATTCATCATCAATCACCAAAAAGTTGGGTTCTTTCCCAACCCTAAACAAGAAATCTACTCACACATGATTGGAATCAGAGAAGACATCAAATAATTATGCAAATCAATCATAAGAAGAAATAAATCAAAGAGAGGAAAGAATTAACCCGTCTTTTAATTGAAATCTTCAAAATAAGAACTTGCAATCCAATCTTCTACAAGAGATTAATGTCTTCCTTCAATACTTGAACCCTAGAATAGTTGCTAGTTGATGGCTAAAAGAACATAACAAAAGATATCCAAAACCCTAAGTCAAAACATCTATTTATATGTCTCCAAAAATCTGGAAAATAACTAATTCCCGCGCCACCGGTGTGGTCTGCACCACACCAGGGTGTGGTAGGGGCTGTTTTGCTGATTTTGTGCTTGTTTCTTCAGTTTTTGGTATTTTGGCTATAACCTTTGCGTCCGACCTCGGAATGAGGTGATTCAAGTTGCATTGGAATCCTGTTGAAGAGATCTACAACTTTCATCTTTTGAGTTTTTCCTAATTCAAATTACATCATGGTCGAAATTCTAGTTCTTCATACTCGTGCATCCATTTTCTTCACAAACCATGCCTTCAAAATCTTGTTGTTGCTTCAAACTCTTGTAAAACTTCAACGATCATCAAATCTTTTAATCTTGGGCCAATACCTACATATAAGAACACAAACAACAGCAGTATCCTCGATCTAAACACGAAATATGCATCAAACGCTCGTAAATCATGCTTGAAACACACTAAGATAATGCATATTTTACGTGTTTATCAATTAGTATATTGGCAACTGGACTTGTGGTAGCATAGGAAGTAGTTCAAAAGCAGTTATCAAATGATATTATTTTGCTTCTCTTTGGTACTACTTGTTGCCACTTGCAGTCAATGAGGAAACACAATTGGTTTTTTGCATTATAATACTTAAAATATCATCACGTTACATTCAAATGTTTTCTTGCTATAATGTTTTGATGATAACTCTATTCATCTATAGAATACTCAGTTTTGAACTGCAAAGAGAGACTGGACTACATTGGTATTCTTATTGACCAGTCAGGATGGATCAATTGAGCTAAGTTTTTGCTTATCAAAGATCCAAAAAGAAGAGAATACAATTATGATATTATCACTTGTCCATACTCAGTTTCATGTATGGCCTTTTATTATTAATTTATTGAGTCCTGCTCTGTGTTTGATGCATGATGGTTCACCTCTAGTTGATGATTTTGTTAGAAGTGGAACTATGCTTTCATGTTTTTTAATCATGAGAAGAGCTATGCTTCTGGCAAATTGTTCATGTATGGTTAATATTTATTAGATGAACGTACATATTGAAAGTTGTGTTGTATCTATACTTTTGGTATTTTAAGTGAATTTGGTATGTGCTGATGTATGCAGATAATTTTATGTTTTATTTTGGTTTCCTTTGTGTACATCCAGTTGAATTTATGGAAATTGACTAGAGACTCTTTTAATTATCTCATAATTAGTATAGAAATCAAGTGAAAAATATATAAAAGTATAGCTGGATAATATAAAAGTATAGCAGGATATTCTTAAAGTATAGCAGGATAATATGAAAATATAGCTGGATAATATGAAAGTATAGCGAGATGTTTTGAAAGTATAGTGAGATAATATGAAAGTATAGCAGGATAATTTGAAAAAATAGTGGGATAATATGAAAGTTTAGTGGAATATTCTTAAAGTATAGCAGGATAATAAGAAAGTATAGTGGTATATTCTGAAAGTATAGCGAGATATTCTAAAAGTATAGCGGGATAATAGGAAAGTATAGTGAGATAATATGCAAGTATAGCGAGATATTCTGAAAGTATAGCAAGATATTATGAAAGTATAGCTGGATATTTTGAAAGTATAGCATGATAATATAAAAGTATAGCAGGATAACCTGAAAGTATAGCAGGATAACATGAAAGTATAGCGTGGTAATATGCAAGTGCATAGTCATACCAAACACATAAGTAAAAACAATCATATAAAACACAAAAAATGGGAAATAATTTTTATGAATTCATGAATAATAATAAAATAATTTTCATGCATAAAATAAGAAATTAATGCAATAAACTAAGCAGTTGAGTAAAATGCAAAATTATACCTTAAATTGCTAAGAAAATAATTTAAAAGAATTGTTGAGAATTAATTGATGGATTAATAAGAGTGATTCACAATTAATTGATGGATTTATAAGAGTAGAAGACTAAAATAAAGATAATAATGGATGAGAGAGCGGAATTAACTGAGAAGTGAAGGGGAATAACCCCACGTTTCTCTCTCTCCTTATTGCACATCTAATTTGATTTTTAAAAATTAAATCACTGGCCCATATCATAGGAATAGAGGGAGGTTGGGAAGGGTAGAATTGGATTTTAAAAAAAAATTAATGGGGCCCCACATATGTATGTATTGTAGTTTGAAAGGTTGGTCTAGAGGTAAATATAAAAAGCTAATTGGATTTAAAGATAGAAGCAAAAGATGTAAGGTTTAAAGATAAATCAAGATAAACTTTTGGGCCTGGTAATAAAAACCCCTAATTTTTATCCTAAGAACAAAAAATAATAATAATAAGGCACTCAACAGGATCTAAACATATCTGCATATATATATATATATATATAGACGAGAAGATGATTACCGGGGTTATTGTCCTTTGTTGTACCTCTAATACTTAAGCCAATTGCCTAAAATAAGCAAATGTTTTTAAAAATTTATGACTTTATGATAGTTATTTTGATAGTACATAATTAACTCGCCATGATTAGGTTAAAAATCTGAAAATCATGTTGCCCTACCAACTTGTATTATGGTCAAACTTCTAACGTGCTGGTTATTTACCCTTTTAAGGAACTTCAAAACAACTGTTATTTTCTAATTTTGTGAACTTATTGCTTTCATCATTATTATTTTGTCATGTATTGTTCACATGTCATATTGCTAGCTCAGTATGTTCTGACCTTCTTGAATATTAACATAAGCATGTTAAATGTGGAGGTCACACTCCGGCCTATTGCGACATCACTTGAAGCTCCCTCATTCGTGTGGCTCCCGCTTTTTTGGATCGTTAGCTAATCCCCAACAATGTGGAGGTTACACGACGACTCCAATCGTTATAAAGTATAAATCTGGTTTTAAGCTAGCAACAGATATGGTAGGTCAAAGCTTGCCGATTATAAAATAACCCAAGCTTATAAAATAGCGGAAGCAAACTAATCCAGAGTAATGATATACAAATTTTAGGCCAGAAAATACGTGAAAAAAAGTGATTCATTGCACATAGATACACTTCAGTTATATGCTATCTAGCACTTTTTGATCCCTCACTGCTTTTTATTGCTAATAAGTTACAGTAACGATACATCTCATTTACTAAAATTACAGGAAAATTCGGTTCCCCTTTTCACTCTGGGTCAAGGGGGGAAAAAAAAAGAAGAAGTAAACAGGAAAATCTTGCGGTAGTTAGCAGCCCAAATAAACAAAAAACCTTAAGGCTTTAGTTCCAGATTTTCTGAAAGAGTACAGCTTTCCTTTAACTATGTTCTTCATATGTTGAAGGCAGCAGGAACATTGTACGCTTGAGCGTTATCCAATAGCTCCAGCCCCTTGGGTATAAATTAACTCTAATTATTCATTTCCGACCCTGCATATGAGAAAAGATATAGATAGAAAACTGAACCAGTTATTTCCATGAAAGTATGAACTGGTCAACATTTAGATGCAATTTAGAATTTTTACCAGAAATGTATAGGGGCAGTCAAGGGTTCAAGTATTTTTCCCAGCCTTCTGCTTCAAGCTTCTCGGCTTTTCCCAATACAGCATCCTTCATATCTTCTTGGTATTTCATCAACCTATTCAAACAAATGGACAATAACCGTATAAAATTTGCATTGCAAAAGTACATCAAATACTGTTAATTTTGTGTTTAAAGAGAATGTGAGATTGTGAGACTCAACCTTTCTGATAGATCAGAATCTGTACTTGCCAAGATCTTGACTGCTAGTAAACCAGCATTAGCTGCATTATTAATTGCAACTGTGGCAACTGGTACACCTTTTGGCATCTGCATGTAAATATAAGAAAAAAGTGACATTAGATTTGCCCACATTTCCCCAGTTTTAGCTGTAAGACAACATTGCTTAAAGTTGTTGAAAGAACACAAGATGTTGTAGTACGCATCTTCCAATCTCAGAACATAATTTACAGAATCATTTGGTACTGAGTTACTTATTTACTGGACCCATACATTTTTTGGATATAAATAGCTGCTAAAATCAATTGAATCTTCAGAAACTCCCATAGGCAAAGGATCAGTCAGTTTTTACATCCACAGGCAGATCTCATCTTGGTTCATGCTTCAGGTTCATCATCATAGTTTACATGTCTAATGCATTTTCCAGTTTCAGCCTTCTTACCTTCCATTGTTTAGGCATGGATTGGTGCAAGCAATCAATTTATTGTAACCAAAGAGACAGAACACAAAACTTGAAAACTTTACAAGTTTCAGTATCAGCAGATGGATATGAATGCCAATTAGATGACTATAATCATGAATGAATCCATTAAAATCTCAGCATAGTAAATGATCTCTACTCTTGATATGTAATTGACATCTTACAAAATTTTGTGAAATCAAATATTCACCAGTTGCTTACTTGCACACACTTTCATTTTTTATTATATATATATAAAAAAATATATTTGTAAGAAACTGAAAAAGCATACTCTTTATGTTCAAGGCTCAAAAGCTCAGCATTCTTGTTGATAAAATAAAAGTACATCTTATACCTGAACAATCGAGTAGAGGGAGTCAACTCCACTAAGTGATGAGGTTTTCACTGGGACCCCAATTACAGGTAATGGAGTCAACGAAGCGACCATGCCTGGAATAAGTCAAATGTGAGTTCATTATCGCTTTAGTGAGGAACCAAGTAGTTTAACTCTAATCTTTCATCTTATCTCTTATAAATAAAGACAATAACCTGGCAAATGTGCTGCACCACCAGCACCAGCAATTATGGTTCGAATTCCTCGTTCTCTAGCAGATAATGCAAAGGAATACATCCTCTCAGGTGTTCGGTGAGCTGAAACAATTGTTATCTGAAAAATTTTGTTATAAAATAGCATGATGGAGATTTCCTCGAAAAGAGAAACTAGGTTACAAAGATTTTTATTTTATTTTATTATAGCTCTAAAGAAGTTCAACCTCAAATGGCACATCGAAAGCCTTCAAAATTTCTGCAGCATCTTTCATGACAGGGAGGTCTGAATCAGATCCCATTATAATAGCAACATGTGGAGTAGCTACACCAAGCAAGCACATGTTAAAGACAAAACAATGATATGAGTTATATAGGGATCAATCTTCATTATTAATATTCTGTGAGAATTAAATAAAAAAACTTGTGTATAAGATCTCCAATATCACAGACAATTTAGTTGCACAATGAATATTTGAATTCTACTTTTGTATTATCCTTGATATAATGTCAGGAATGTGGATAGTTACAGGGACACCAAAGTACATTGCATAAGCCAAAAAAACACAAATAGCAATACAAAAAGGCAGAACAAGTTGAGCAAGAAAAAGGGATTGACTAAATTCAGCAATTATTCTCCAGTAATGAATTAATCTACAGTTCTATGAGAGGTCAAAATCCATTCAAATTACATAGATTGGATGTCCAAGTCAGAGTTGCAATGAACGCGGTTCGTTCTGGTTCACGGAATGGGAACAGAAGTGTGGTTGCCACTTATTTGGAATAGGGTACAAATGGGGTAGGCTTATAAGGTACACTAGGAAACGTGGAACACTTTAGGTTCGGTTTTTAAATGCATGAATCTGGGTGCCTTAGTGTACAATTTTATGCAAGAGTCAAATTCAAGGATCAGTAATAGTAAAAGAAATTTTAGGTACACTTTTTGTTGTTAATTATTCTGAAAATTGTTTTTTCCCTCGCCAAAAATATTAACTAATTTGAATTCTAAGTCAAGTCTCCAGGTACGTGACCCAATTCACTAGTGTACTGTGTCCCGGGACGATTAAACCGGGTCATGGATTGCTACAGTTTCCCCCATTCCCGACATCTATGGTCTAAGTATCCTGGGCAAGCAAGGTGAATACATGAAAATAGATGATCAGGATGACCATATGACTATGAAAAAAGACAAAAACAGGAGGAAAATTGAAGTACTAAACTGTAAAATAGTAAAATGTGAACCTGCAGTGTGGTTTCCAATGTTTTCTCTCTCCAATAATAAGTCCAGGCGTCTTTTTACTATGTTCATTGAAGGACCTACAATTGTGATGTGACCCATTTTCCGCTGCTTTCTCATTTCTACAAGATTACTATGTCCAGTTATGTCATAATAAAGAGAGATTGGAATCATCATATTACTTAAATTTTTCTTACCTGGTTTGTCATACCAATGAACAGAAGCCCCAGGAATACTCAGTGCCCTCCTTGTCAGCTGATGAGCTATATAGAAACCCGGTTCTCCCTGAAAGTGTAACATTTCCAACGTCACAGGTTTGATAAGTTAACATATATAATTCATTATATTAAAAAGCTGGATTTTATAGAACACGATCGGATAAAAATGTTAATTTTGACAGAAGACTCAAGAATATACGCTTACTGGATACGGATTGAGAAAGTATTACCTCATCTTCCCCCAGAATGTTGTACATGATTGCAGCTGGGGTTTTCATTGATGGATCACCAAGTGGAAGACCAGTGACAGCTCTCAAATGCTGTTCATACTGAGAGGTGTAGCAGGACTCGATTGTGTGATGGCCACTATTGTGAGGCCTAGGAGCAACTTCATTTAGCAAAACCTATCGGACAAAAAAAAGGCTACACTCAACTTGATTGAGATACAGGATTCCGATGCAAAACCCAAAGGATCCAGCATCACCAGAGTAAAAGCAAAAGAAAAATGAAAAGAATATCAGGGAACCTTTCCGTCCTTAGTTAAAAATAATTCTACAGCAAAAACACCAGCCCCTCCTAGGGAACTAACAGCCTTTTGAGCAACATCCATGGCACACTTCTTAACACTTTCAGGCACATCAGCAGGCGCTTCAACTATGTGACAAATGTTATCCCTAGAAATACCATAATGCTCATGAAAAATGTTTTATTTGCATGAGAAAGATCAAAACTTTAAAGAAGGGACATCCCAGGAACCTATATCATTAGAAAGTAATACAGGACATGAAAAGGAAATTGGCATCAATCAAACAACCTCATCTTTACCTGTGAATGGTTTCGACTACTGGGTAGCATGATATTGAACCATCTCTTCCCCTTCCAACAATGACTGCCAACTCCTAGATCATAAAAAGTAAAAGATTATCAATATTATCTCTCCTTTTCAGTTCACACTTTTAAATAAAAAACTGAAAAATAAATTGCATAAGAAAGCTTGTCTATAGATGATATTGGAATACAGTGATTCAATAAATGACAAGGATAAACAAAAACTACTACCAATTAATTTCAGAAGAATACTTGACGAAGAGTAAGGTATATGTATGATTATAAAGGACCAAAACTTTTTTGTACACCCCCTAAAAGTTAAACTTGCCAATTAAACTATATCATATCTAGGACTTGACTGGTCTAGGACCAAACCTTTTTATTAGCCCAACTTATTCTGAGCATGTTTGGCAACTTGGCCACAGTGGAATATAATCCACTTTTTTGATCATAATCCACTATTGCATGTTTGGTAATCACTTCTTGAGTGGATTATTTTGGACTATAATCCACCAAAAAATAATCTAGGATTCTAGCTTATCTTTTGGGTGGATTATAATTCACATGTTTGGCCGAGTAAAAGACAAGAATGCCCCCTTTTTTACATGTCATTCTTTCCCCTTCTCTCTTCCCAATTTTAAGGGTTCTTTTGTCATTTTAATAAAGGGCACATGGATCATAAACCACCCTCTTTACCGAACACCCAAAGTTCTAATTTGGACTATAATCAACAAATGGATTATAAACCAAGTGATTATAATTTCCGATTGCCAACATGCTTGCTATATATTGACGTGTAGATCACCATGCATATGAGAAGAGAAGAAAACAGCTATTAGTCAAAAATTTAATAATTTAGTCTTTTGCGTATCAGTGGAAATTAGACAACACTGACGCGCCACGTGAAAATAGAAAAGACGTGTGATCCTCCATGACCCAATAACATGCACCAAGACATGGCCAAGGTACAGTATTTATCAAGAACAAGTATGAATGATCAATGGGATGATAAGAAAAATTGTTATCCTGAAGATGCAGCAAATATCAGTGCCAAAATGTAAAGGAAATGAATCCACAGCAAAGGTTCTTCATTGACATTTATTCCAAGAACAAGCTTATATCTAGATAAGTATAGAATAGAAGTGCTGCCCTTCAAGGAAAAGAAGAAAAGAATCAAAAGGTTAACCTTCACAAATTCTGTCCATCTTTCGACATATAACCCACGATCATATCCTCCCAATACTGCACAGATGAAACTATTATATCAAAAAAAAAAGAAAAAAAGATAAAAAAAACACAAATAGATAGACAGATATATAGATAGCTTAAGGGTTACAAAACCATTCAAGTTACAACAATTGCAATCTATAGATGGCAGGGGTATCTACTATATAGTGAATGTATGGGCACTTAACAAGTGTACATTAAAACATTTATACAATGCTTGTGTAGCAATCTATAGATGGCAGGGGTATTACTATATAGTGAATGCATGGGCACTTGCACAAGTATACAGTAAAACATTTATACAATGCTTGTGTAGGTGCCTCCCCCCTGCCTCCCTCCCTCTCCCTCCCTCCCTCTCTCAAGCACGCACACACATGTATCCGTGTGTATGTATGCATGCGCAGGCTTGCGGGTGGCGGAAGTGCATGTGGGTGGGTGGGAGCCTGCGTGTGTGGGGCTGGGGTGGAGGTGGGTGCGGATGCAAGTGCGAGCGCAGAGTGTTAAACCATGCATAGAAAACTTCGCACCATGCAGGTATTACAATTATGGAGGTGATATTAGTCAGCAGTTAGCTATGTAATCAACATACCTTTGACAGAAGAAGAAAGCTCCTCTTTGCTGTGAGCAACAGCATTCCCTCGCCCATCATATGCCAACTTCCTACTTTTGATCATCAAAGGATAACCAAACAAGTCACCAGCTCCCTCAGCACTTTTTAAATTGTCTATCTGCATTTGTAGAACAGTCACTAATTGAAACTCTTCAACCTGAAGTTATACTTGCACAAATTAACATGAAAGATGTAGGACACCTGCATAAAATCAGGAAGTGGAATTCCATGATGGGAAAAATGAACCTTTTGAATATATTTGTCCTGAAAAGTGAGAGACATAAACAGAGTTAGATCCATCCTCTCGAGATATAACCAAACCTATGATGAACCAATATATTTTCGAAAAGTTTTAAGTTACAGTTTTCTATCGTGCATGCAACCACCACCATGCAACTCTGATCAAGTATAAAGATTACAGAACATGCAATGCGAACTTCCAAAGGGAAGAGAACGACTGATGTGTGCAAGCATACGCAAGAACAGATTTCTTGTTACTTTCAGCCTACACTGTCATATTATCACTTCTGAATTTTGGATTGGTTAATGTATGGTGTTGAATAAGATCTAAGGGGTCAAATATTGATATGTCCACCTGTCAAGGTGTAAGCAAGGATATCTAAAGCAAGCAGAATAATTAATGAAACTAGAAAAGAAATACAAAGAAAACATATGGAGAGGAGAAAAGATCTTGCTTATGGGTGGACATCGGAAGCAGTATATTAGTGATAGGATGGGAATGAAATGAAGTTATGGTGTTCTATGAGAATAAGAGAAGAATTTTACAGACAAACATGACAGAAGGGTTTGCATTTTGCAAAGTGAAGGAAGTCAAGGAAATCTCTTCTGATGCTTCATCTGCTGGATAGGAAATGTATACACAACAGAAAGGAGATTGGTAAATTGGCTTGTCCTCTCGTCATGTTCCATTTTCAGATGATAATGTCCAAACAATATATCATAGGACAAAAAATTTAATACTTCCCACACCTGCAATAACTGCTAGTGCAATTGCCATTCTGATATTCAAATAATTTGCATATATCACTATTTGATTTAAACAAGTTGATACTTGTACTTTAGCAATAACAAATATAAGCAAGGGCCTACTTGGATAATCCTAATGGTTGAAGCTTTCGGTTCGCAGTCCACTCCTTGTTGCTCAAGTTTCTTCAGTGCATCAACATCGACATGTTCAATCTCTACAGTCAGCACTCCACATCTATGCAGCAAACAAATGCACTATTTTCAACATTCAGCTAAAAGTTGTTAAACTTAACAATTATTCTAAATATTCAAGATTACTGAACCTCTTTGCAAACTCAAGAACCGCAGAGCCATCATTGAAATTCCCGACTATATGCTGATGTGATAAAGAACTTGCAGGACAGTTCTCAAGGGGATCCAAAGTGAGCACTTTGATCCCCATTTGACTCGCTGCTTGGCAGAGCATTCGACCCAACTGCCCGCCTCCCAATATGCCAACAACCATTTCCGACACCCCATGTACTGATAAACGATCCTCTCTGCATGAATGTAATAAGTAGCATATGATAGACAAATTCTTTCTTGTTTACAAACATGTCGAAACTCAAACAAACATATATAATTCCATCGAACTCGACCACACCCACTTGAGAAAAAAGAGTTTTCTACTGTGAACTATACTGCACAGAACATGTTCGATACCCCTGAAGTTCACTGAAACTGTGAACAAGTCCAATCAGAGTAAAACATGATTTCGAACAAAATGGGAAAATTTAGTACAGACCCCTGTAATTTCAACAATTTGCAGCAAGGTCGAAACTGAGTAACATAAGGCTAAATTGGACCTAGATTATGAAGTGATCAGTATGAAGTCTACATTAGTCTGGTATTAACTCTATAATTTTATATTAAACAACCTCGTTGAGACCGCAAAGGATCAAAGTTGGGAGACCCAGACAGTCAAGAGGTGAGTTCATTTCTCACTGGCATTTTTATAATATAAATCACATGAGTAGTGTATATTTGATTGATCTATTGCTCCTGCGATAATTACTCCATCATTTTCATGCATATAAAATGCAATTTGATTAGACCTATACTATCGCGACCTGTCTCCATAATATGATTTGATTTCTTATGATCTACGAAAGGTAATTTTGATACCATATAAAATATGAAAAGTAATTTTGATTTCACATAGGGTTTGATATGTTATTTCGGTTTACATGCGATATTAAATAAATGTGAATAGAAACACTTGTATGTAAACAATAGCAATACAAATTCTTTCTCGTTTGCAACAATGGTGAAAATCAACCCTGCCATAAACGAACTCATTGAATTTGGCAAGACCCACTTGCCAAGACTGGGTTTTTCCCATGCAAAGTGTAATGCGCTGATCATGTACGATGAAATGCTTGAATGTAGACGAATTGGACGCGACTCGCATGCCAAAAATTAGGATTTTCCACTAAAACTAATAATGCACTGAACCTGTTCGACGAAATGCTTGTGAGGAAAAAAACGATCACATACCCATCCTTTGAGCTCTGTTGGCTGCTTTTGGCTGAAATAGCGCACCTAGCTGACGACATTGGTCGCGTTTTCTTCGGGTAGGAGAAGGACAGAGAGGTCTTTTTACCTTCAACGAAGACTTGGGTTGAAGGAGAGGAGGAGAGGCGAGAGTCACGTGGGCGCGCGAAGCACGTGGGGTGCACGAGCGCACGCACGAGCATCA